TTTGAGACAGGGTCTTTCTAGGTTGCTGAGGCTCTCCATAAGTTGCTGAGGGGAATCTCAAGTTTTTGATTCTTCTGCCTCCTGATTTACTCAGATTACAGGAATGTGCCACCTGTGCCCAGCAATGCCTATGAATTTGAGTCTCTATCACTAGTCAGAAGTCAACCCTCTCTCACCTTCCAGAACCTATGCCTAGAAAATAAAACTGGATTTCAGGTCCCACAACATCCCCTTTGCTTTAGTCCCGGGTCTGGTGGTTTCTTTTCCAGTTTCTTAGCACCTAAACAGGGAAGAGTGGAAAAAAAAAAAAAGCCTCTGCTAGTGGCCAGCAGGGGGCAGTGTTTAATAACCAATTGTCAGGACTTAGCGGGAAGGAATACAGATCAGAGAAATGTCCTTAGATCAACACCTCTCTTTGACCCTCCCGGACCAAATCTTGCTTCTGTTCTATTATTAAACCCCTCTCTTTTCTGAGCTGCAGTTTCTCCACCCTCAGTTTAGGTTTTCTAGCTTACCCATTCCCAACTTTCCAAAGACTGAACACCACCGGGGTCTCCCTCTCAGATGACCCCATATCCTCTTGTGCCTTCTCATTCTACCTTGCTTCCTAAGGTGGTCAGGGCTCCTGCCTTGCGTTTGATCTGGTGGAAGGGGCATTGGATGTCAGGCCCTTTCACTGCCCTGGACTGGTCTCTTGTACAGTGCACAAACTGTATAACAGTACATATTGACCCTGCTACTGACTACCCTTGATGAATCATTTTAATGAGCACCTTCATGATGATCTCGTTTAATTCTTAGAACACGGCAGATCTTATTATTGTCCCATTTTGCAGATGAGGAAATTAACACACAGAAAGGGCATGTAGTTTGTTCATAGTGGCACAAAGATAAAGATGAATATGGAGCTGGGATGCAGATTCCCTGGCTGCCAGGTATGAGCTTTCTCTCCCTCGGCCACAGTCTTGCTGCCAGTGCCTCTGCCTCTTTCTGCCCCACTCCCTCTCAGCCTTACAGACAGATGGTTGTGATCCTGCTGAAGTAGGAGGATTGCAAGTTAGAGGCAAACCTGGGCAACTGTGTGAGACTTTGTCTCAAAATAAAACAAAAAAATTTAAAAATGGGTGGGGTATAGCTCAGTGACAGAGCACCCCTGGATTCAATCCCCAGAAACTCAAAACAAAAGAAAACAAGACAGATGGCATCTCGGCTTGTTTCCCTGCACTCACATCCCGGACTGTGACCCTCCTGTGAGTTCCTTTCTTCTGTCCACGGTCCTTACTGGGTCAGATTCAAGAGCATAGCAAAGGACAGGAGAAAGAGGAGGA